TTCTTCACATTTTTTTCTTTAGAAATATCGTTGCTATATGAGAGTGTTCGGCATAATTTGCGAACTAGTTCGAAATCACTTTCATCGCTAGAAGAGATAGTCAGCATATCAGATCTATGTCCCGAAGATAATGGTTATTCACAAGTAAAATTAGTCTCAACTTCGCGTGTTGATTTTTTCCCTTTGACAATATAATCAGTGATTAAACTTTGCGATGGCTTTGCTATTTTTTTGTACAATTCCTGATATCCAGAAATGCAATTCTGAAGCTCGCGTTGAAACTTGAATGCTCGTTCAGAATTATCATCTTTTTCGATGAAATGGTTTGCCAATTTGTGTCAAAATGGCCTAAAATAGTTATTTAAAAAAAATGCTTCTTGAAATAAAAACCGCATAACTTCAAAACCGCATAAAAAGAGGACCGAGTGTATATTTACTCGATATATTTACATTATAAAATAGATGTATTCTCGATTAGCCTATAAAAGTAAATTGTATAGTACTGACTTATTGTATTTATAATAAATAAGAAAGTGAGTATTTTCTTCGTCACCTGCTATTTACCGCGAACCAAAATAATTGGTAGAAATTGTAGAAAAAAGAAGAGTATCACCTTTCATTAGAAACTTAAATGATGATCAAGGTCAGTTGGTACATGATGACATTATTAAAAATTGCAGTTTTTGTTAAATAACTTTTAAATAATAACATGGATAAAATGTCAGGAAAATAATAACACATCGTTTTTGTTAAGTGTTTAATTTTTGTTGCTTAATTTTCATCTATACATACCCTTAATATTTATATTTCTTTATATATATATATTTATAGTAAATACACTTTAAAATCGTCTTTCCAATAAGAAATGTGAACAAAAACAAATTGGGAGTTAACGGAGACTCGCCAGATGGCGCAGGTTTTTTGTTGTTCAGAAACAATAACACACACACATAAGTATATATATATATATCTCTCATCATATATCAATGACCGGCATAAAAATTATTGATCACAGGACCATGAAACCTTACAAACACATAAAAAAGGAAATATTTAATTACTAAACACATCTCACTTTTGGAAGCTCTCCACTTCATCTTCCACAATCATCTCCTTAGATACGAAACACACACCTTAATCCTAGAATCCTACTGCACCTGCAACAAAATCGATTGAGCATTGATGAGAGGTGTTCGTATGTGCGCAAAGCGCACCACCTGCGCACGTACCACCAGCCGGCTTCGAAGCGTAAGCGATGTGCGAGGGAATGTTTTTTGCTTGCATATAATACTGAACCTCTCTAGATAACGAACTAGCCGAACTCCATCTAGACATCGTCTAGCCACAACCCAAACAAAAGTAATAAGCCAAAAAATATAAATAAATACTTATATATATAAGAACATATATAATACAATTAAAAAATAAATTTCAATAAGGTCAAGTTAATGGTTTAATGTCATGCACAGAAAATTTTACATTCTATATTGTGAAAAGTATAGATTTTAGTGTATCATATAAAAGTTTGATTATTTCAATCAAAAGCGAAGCTTTGATATTGGCTGTATGTTAAAATATTTTTAAAATGTTAAAATTAATATGGTTAGGGCAAACTATTCAAGCAACTACGTTCTGCAATCAAAACTCTTACTTGTCTTTTTGTTTAAATTATTTTTTTGGCCGTTCCGCTCGTCTGCATGAAATAAAGTACGAATTAGTAGACCAATTAACAAAATCCAACTGCACCATTGTATTTAATTGAAATTATGGAAATGATTAATTCATATATATTTATAGGCATGTTCTTATGTTTTTTTCTAAGATTTTACAATTCAAATAATGCTTATATCTAAACCAGTGATGAAGAGTGGAACAGAGTGCATGCAGCAAATAGTGTCTGTAGATTAACTCACCTGAGAGTCCGTGGCTTGCGTCATCATGGTGGTCGGAGTCAGAAAGTCCATTGGCGCATTGGGATCAGCCATAGGGGCGGGAACAAAGAAGTTCAAGTTAGAGCTCTGTACGGTTGGAGGGGCATACGGGTCAGGCGGCATGATGCTAGGCGGAACGGTCGCCTTGCCGTCCGGATTAAACACATCCACGTATGATTTCTTCAGATCTAAAAAGAAATCATAAATATAATGGATTATGCAATGTGACATTTTGATTTATTTACTTCGGTTCCGTTGGAGCTTAAACATGTTGGTTGGCTGAGTTGGCGGTTGTGGTTGCTGTTGTATAGTCTGCTGGATATTGGGTTGTTGATTCATCACCATGGGTTGTTGATTCATGACCGGTTGACTCTGCACGGGCTCCGGTATCCTGGGCGGCTGAGTCATAGCTTTGTTGGCTCCGTTCATTTGCATTTCGGACATCTTCGGCGGTGGCTTCAATTCGCTCACGGTTTCGTTTCCGTCTTCATCCATGTTAATCCAACGTTTTTTTTCTTGATCCCAAACAATCTGTAAATAAAAGTCGATTAACAACTGTAAGAATTAGTTTCATTATATATTTACGCTTGGGTTTTTATCATCCGGTAATTTCATCTGGTTCTTAGGCCTTAGGATGCCCTTAAAAATACCACCAAACCACCCGTTGCTTGCTTGTTTAGCGGGTGCCTTCTTCGGAGTCGGCTGTGCGGCTTTCTTCTCGGGACTCGCCTGTTTCTGGGGCGTTGGTGTCGACTCGTTGTAATCCTCTTCGCCGTACGGAAGAGAGTTCGATTGATTGGGCATCGATATTTGGGGCTGGACATCCTGAAATGTGCAAAGAGAAAGTACAAAAAAAACGGTACAGCGGAAGATAACTAATAATTCAGTATTGGAAAAAAATAGAAGTAGACTTTTAATTGCATTTTACTATGTCAACACTTTGCTTAAACAACAAATAATGAATATTTATACATGTATATTAAAGCACATTTATCTTTCAGTCGTCCGCAGACTCTAAAGCACATAACACCGGCATTATATTAATAAGTAATTTGTTGAGTTTATCTAATTAAATAGGAATGTCGATGTCAAAGCTTTTGGCAGGTCCGTATTGGCGCACTTTGGGCCGATCATACGACTTAATCTCAGCGACCTCCCGCCTTCTTGGCAGCGGAGTGGGCGAATCTATGGGGTATGTGCCTCCGAACACTAACGGTTTGTAAACAACAGCCGGTTCACTCTTCGAAAAAAATGAATGCTTTAAACTGGATAGAACGTTCTTCGTCGAGGAATTCTTTCTCGCCCACGAGTCCACCGTATCACAAATGATGTCGCGCCGCTTCCGTCCCAACACCGGCCTACTTGGCCTCGACGTTTCAAACGTGTCGTACTTGGCTATTATCATGCGTCGACCAATCAATTTCGTCCGTTCGTCTCCGCCCACACCCTCCTTCGTCAACTTACTCGATGATGATTTTGTCGAAGTTCGTTTACGTAACTCCTGCTTACTTACTTCTTCGTCCTTAACGACACTCTCCTCCGGCTGCGTCCGTTCATTTGTAATAGTAGCAGCAATTTAGACAAAATAATATAATACATGAATATACTAACTCGTATTTCCACGAGATCACAGATACTTTGCAAATAAAGAAACACGCATACATACAATTAGTTCCTCTGCTCCCTTGAGCAGAATAACTAAATTGCTTTAATCCGTACCGTAGTCATCTATAAATTACCTCATTTTGAGCGGGTTGCCAGTAATCAGCATGATGCTGTTGTGGATCCTCGACTGGCTGCACAGTACTCTGCATTTCTGGCTGGCTATATGAGTGCTGCTGATGATTCCACTGGTTATATTGACCACTGAAACCGCCCTGATCGGGGACTGGTTGTTGCTGTTGGTGAATATACTCTTGCTGTTCCTGAGGAGGCCATTGCTGTTGCTGTTCACCGTACTGCGGTTGATCAACAACATCAGGCTGTTGGTTCCAATCATCCTCTGCATGGTTCAAGTTAGATTGCTCATGTTGTTCCATGTCTGGAGTGCCGATATTCAAGTTCGCCAAACTATCGTGCGTAATCAAGCCCAGCTGAACAAAATCAAAATGGTGAAGTAATTTTGAAGAACATAATTCAAGTGATCAAACTTACGCTGTATTGATTTTGCACCACCTTGAGATCCTGCAACCAAGAACTGTCCGGCCTGTTAACATCCAGGTCTTCTACTAAGTCTTCGTCGCTCACTGGATCATTATATTTTAATCTATTAGCCATTTCGCAGACGCGGTTAATAAGCGTCGGTTGTGAATTCGCAGGGTTTTGAATAATGGACATTGAAACACGCTCCAAATAGCTGAGAGCCGTTTCCAAGAATCCACGATCAGCAAGTCTGGTTGCCAGCAAGTATTTATAAGCCTACAAGAAATATATAAACATTTAGTGTCGTTAATATACAAATTTGAGAATGTTTCTCACTTGGAATTCGGGAATGATAAAGTTAGCATCACTCAGGCTGCGAGCGTACTCGTAAACTTCAGTCATATGTATGGCATCGTTGGTGGCGAAGCTATGGAATGGTCTGCAGGTGTGATCGGAGCCTAAGAGTACCAATTTGGCACCATCCGAACCGTAACGTGAAAATCCAACCTCTGCCATCAGGTAGCAGAATTGGGCAGCGTAGAGCGAGCCTCGCGACATAAGTGTATCCGCTAGAGTGGTAATTGCTTTCCTGTGCAACTCGGGACGCTGCGTAGTGTTTGACAAGATCATGGCCAGGTGAGGCCTCCAGTCACCCCATTTCTCATCTTGCACCGACTGAATACAAAATTCAATTTAATTATAGATAATATACTTTACATTCAATAACACTTACCGTTACAGAGGCTGGTAATCTACCGCTGAGTAATTGATACAATGTCTGCAAAGGATCGTTCATTGGCAATCCGTTGGCAAAACGCATCATGACGTTCGCGTATGTCCTCTTATCCAATTTGCTGGCTAGAAAGAGGGCGTGTCCCCAAAGCCCATGTTTCATCGCCCATTCCAGCGCCTCTTTTTCCGATCCGTACAACAAATATTCTCTAAACTTATTCGTGACTATCTCCTCTTTGATTTCGGAGCCACTCTGGCTTCCTGCCTCGTTAGCACCGACGCTACTTTCGTTTGAAACGACTGAAGATGCTCTCCTGTTGTAATCCAATCGTTTATCTTTCATCAGTAACTCGGCGATATCAGCCCCATCAACTCTCTTTAAAACAATCAAAAATGCAAATAAGAAATTGTGGATATTTTTTTTAATTGTAAAGTTAGATAATAACTCTTACCCCGTTCTGTCTTAAAAGCAACACGAGCAACTCCCACATAAGCGTGTAAGCATCATCGGATCCATAGCCGCCCTCTATGCTTCTAATCTTGGACTCACAGTATTCGATGACTGTTTTTTTGTGCGTGACGCCCTTCACCAGAGGCCCCGGGAAATCGAGAAATTCGCGCAACTCTTCATCTCCAGGTAGGAAATCCTCAATACGATTGATTTCTACCATGGCCGGCTGCCCGTCCATTGGATAATTTGGCAAAATCTTCACCAGCTTCCCACCGCTTATGGATGCACAGACGTGAGCCGAAGAAAACTTCGCTGGTGTCAGCCGTTGCTGCTGCTGATCCTCAGATACTCCGCCATACGACATGGTCGTATCCAAGTTCAACGACGAGTCCGTATAGTCGAATGGTCTGCTTGCGCTTTTTTATAAAATGACAAAAATCAAAATAAATAATTGTAAAATAATCATGATTTACTAAAAAAAATATAACAAAAAGAAATGGTATTTCATTAAGACCTACCACTGTAATAATTGGATATTGTTGTGTGGCTAAGAACTTAAAAAAGTATCGAACACAAAGCGTACAAATGGTGATAACAAAGTCGTTGTTAGTTTAAAGTTAAAAAGAAATAATTATTTATGCAAGTGTGCCTGATTTTAACATACCTGGAGTCGTCGAGACCGTAATGTCCCGAAATACTGCGTGGTTGGTGATCTCTGTAGTACATCGAGTGCTCGTAGTACCTTTGACGCTGCTGCGAGTACCTAAACAGTGTATGCGTGATATATGCGGAGCGGAGCAAGTGTGAACAGTCTTGGGTGTTGATTGAAAAAGCAAAACGAACCACGCTCGATGAAAATAAGACAAAACCAGACAACCAGCACAAAAATTGGGAGACTTACCTTTCCTTGGCTAAATCATCATTAGTTGAACTACGCCCAGAATGAACTGAATTGCGATCATCTACACCACCGCCGTAGACTGGAGGCATTCCCTTGGCCATTCCTTGTTGTAGCATATACTGTTGGTAAAACTCGGAGTAAGCTTTAGGATTGGTCTGCCGTAAATGTTCCCAATACTTGTACTGCTGGTAGTACGGATTGTATGGATCGTATGGGTTATAATTCTAAAAACAAATGTATACACGTAATATAAATACTTCTTCCAAGTTAAATTTTAGTACCTGCATGTAATGACTATAGGAATCTGCATGAGGCTGTCGAGGTGGTCTACGACTATCCCTTTCACGTTCCCTATCTCGATCAACTCCCCTATGCTTGGGTCTGCGATTATCTCTAGAATACGTCGAATCGTGCATGGAATCAGAACGGCTGGTAGGACGAGACCGCTGCAGATCTTCATCATAAGATTCATCATAACGGCCATAATAATAATCCCTACGATCCCTTTCTCTGTAATCTCTATAATCTCTCCGCCTCCGGTCCTTTTCACGGCGCAGACTGCCGTAAGAACGCGAATCATCTCGATGCCTGTCTCTGTCGGTGTAATAATCCTCGGTGTCGTCATCGTATCTACGCTCCTTATACACTTGATCCGGATTTTCTTTGTATCGCCTGCGATCCCGATCTCTGCGATCTCTCTCATCATCCTCCTCGTACCTCTTATCCCCGCGGTATCTACGACGATGAGGCGACGAGTCTTTCCGCTCCCTATCGCTGTCCGTTGTGACTCTAGGAGCTTCATCGGCTACGCTCAAATCCTTAACCGATGAAGCCAATTCCTCGATAGCACCGCCATCGTGCGACTCATTACCTCCATCGCCTGCTCCACCGGTTGTGGGCGGCGTAGGAGTGTCTGCGCCGATCGTGGCTGATCTGGGAAGTTGCTGGGAGGCGCTCAACCTATCCAACTCTTCGTTTTCTGATTCATCGTCATCGGGCTCCGCAGGTGGAGCAATGTAATTACTTGTTGTTTCTGGTGAACTGGATTCACCGGGCACCATACGTTGTAGAGGACGCGAAGAGTTCTGTCCAAGAACCATTCGACTTAATCCAGGAGGCGGCGGTTCCTGTCCCAAAACCATGCGTATAGTCTCGTCAGACAAGTGGCCAGTTTCTAGATACTGATCTCGTTCATTTATAGGAGCTACCTCGTTGTTATCAGGTACTGGCGGTTTAGCTGTAGGTTTCGGCGCAACAGCCAACTGCGGTACATCCGGTTGCTCAGAGTTATCAGGAACGGTTTCAAGGTTGAAAGGAAATTGCCGGTCGGTCACGGGAACTGTAGGCGCTGCCGTCGGTTTGTTGATGCTTTTATGAGAAATAGGACCACTATTTCGTTTGAAAGGATTATTATCCAATGGTGGAGTTATATTTTTAGGTGGCGGAGGCAAAGCCGGTTCTGTCTTCAATTCAGCCTTCACTGGTAGTGGCGGACTCGCCGTTGCTTTTGCCAAAATTTCAGAGTTTTCATAGGGCTCCTGCTTCGCTGATGCTATTGGCGGTGGTGGCAAAACTTCCATCGGCGTATGCTGGCCCGACAGCGGGGAATGACTGACCGTCGAACTACGTGACATCAGGCTCTCCGAAGTCTGAAGTACGTCGTCAGAAGATTCCTGCGATTCAGTGGACCATTCCGTCTTAATTGTCTTCTTTTCGCCGCTGTCAAAATCTTCTGGCTTTATCGAATTTCTGCGATGCTTGTTTGCATCCCCCACTTTAGCAAATACAGTATGATCAGGCTCTTCTTCATTGCTTGTACCGGCAATATTTGAAGTGGACGATGCGGTGGTGGCAGACTCCTCAACATTCCAATTCCATGGTTCTTCATTCACTAACGCATCTATTGCTGCTGGAGCATTATCATTAGAGCTTTGCACGGTCTGCTGAACCGCTTCAGTATTCACATTGGAATTATCTTCATCGCCCCAACCCCAGTTCCATGCGTCCTCCTCCTTAGGTTGTTGTTGCTGTGGCTGCTGTTGTTGCTGGTTATTGAACATATTGAATTCAGGCTGATTATATGTCGAATTCTGTTGATAATATCCAGAATGCTGCTGGTTCTGGTAATATAGAGAATTTGCCTGTGGATCCTGGTATCCCTGCTGTTCCCAGTAATTACTATGCTGCTGCGGTTGTTGCTGCTGCTGTTGTTGTTGTTGTTGTTGATGCTGCTGCTGCAATTGCATTGATTGATATTCATTGGTTTGCTGATTAAACCAGGTATTGGACTGTGACCACTAAGCATATAAAACCATAATTACAATTATGTAGTGTTATTAATGAAATAAAGAATATACTTGATCTTGATGTTGATTAGGGTTATACATCTGAACTGGAGGTGTTGTGGTGTTAGGAGCAGCTGGACTTCTTCTCTTCATCCACGACATTTTATAAAACTTTCCTACATGAAGAACACTTATTAGTAATTAAATATTTAAGAAAATCCTAAATAAATTATTTAATGACATAGATACAATTATTAAGAATCTACCTTATGGAAAATCTAAACCATATGCATAAATTCAGGAAAACTACATGAAATTTTAAATTATAGAAAAGTATTTTAATGAAATATCAATACTATCTTGAAGAAAGGTCTGGATGAGGGGAAATGATTGGCCTTGGTCACAAATGCATAAATTAGGAGTAGAAAGTATAGGTGGTATATTTAGGACAATAGGAAGTGGCCCACATATTTAAATTTATTAGAGAGAAGGGCAAGTGCTCCAATTTAAATTGAATACTTTCACAGCATATGTTAGAAATAGAATGTACTTACTTAATAAGTCTTTTAGGCCTTAATAATGTATCTTAATCCAATGTTTTGAAGTTTCTTCCTATCTGACACATTACATTGAAAATGTCACACCTAAAGCAGAACTTCGATCACCTCCCAAGAAATCATGCCCGGGATATGCATAAATGCAAGGGTTTAAAAAAAAATGGAAACAATAATAGAGTTGAATTTCGCGAGAAGAGAAACGTCCAACTTTCGCCCGAGTTTTGCTACGTTGGCCCCCAGATGATAGAAATTATGTAAACCGGACTGTCATCGAGCAAGTTGGCCAACAGACAACAGGTGAGAAACTAAATCACCAAATCAAAAGAAATTTGCATTTTACATTTTTCAATATTCAAATTCCAGCCAAATATTTTTCAGTATCAAATATGAGACAAATAACTTAAATTAGAGTTGTCAGTACGAGCAATTGAGATTCAATTCAATGTACTTTATTCAATATTTTGATTCAACTTCACGTCAATAAATTATAACCTAAAATATGCTTTTATTTATAATAATTTTACAATTTGTCTACAGTCGATTATGTTTCATTCTGCCGTTTGCCGGGTATCATCTCATATTCATTACGTTTGGGAAACGATTCCATGCCCTTCTCCATGGGCGTCTTCTTTCCAGCCTTAGCCTCGATTGCAATAGCGTTCTTTTTCTTAAGCTGCATAATTGCTAGATTTCTGAGAACCTCCTCGTCTGAGGGCACTTCCACTCTACGACCTCTCAACCAGGCTTCCCATTCGGCTGGCATCTCCTGCTGAAAGTCCTCCTTGTCTTTGGGCTCAAACCATCTATTCGCGCGCCGTTTTCCGATCGAGGGATTGGCTGGTATCTCGTAATACTTATTCCCGAAATGGTCGGACCCCATATGAGTTCCACTAAACTGTCTTGGTTTCAGAGAGTTGATAAAGTTGCGAATTATCATCGCCCAAATACTACGCGCCGGAGGTTGCGACATACCGTTAACCACAAAACAGATCAATTCAAACTGATTCAAACAACTGTTGACAGTTGACAGCAGTGATACAGCTGTATTATATAATTTGAAACTGTTTCAACATGCAGAGCCGTCCTAAGTGGTCCTAAGATATTTGGCTTGGCGCCAGTGGGCGAAAGGGGAAGCAAAATTACAGCCTCAGTGGTATAGCACATTTAGCCCTTGGTTAGGGTAACCCTGCCAACATGTATAATTGTATCTTGGTGAATATAATATATTTATCAGTTTCTAATTGGTTCAACATATGCAAGATAAATAAGTGAATACTAACAAAATATAGAAAATATATTTGCTTAAAACTATGGAGTCGTTCTCATCCATGCGTTTGATCGTCTTCGACGAAATCCCTGGCAACATCTTTGCTAACGCACTCGACGTGACTGACTTTATTCCTAAACTTAACGCCGTAATATTTATTGGCATGTTCCAACAGTTCAGGTCGGAAAGTGGTTGTGATGAATTGCGCTTCTCCTGTCAGTTCATGAATCATATTAGCGACGGCCTTTCTGTGCTGCGCGTCCAAAGCTTGATCTATTTCATCGAAAAGGTAGAACGGAGCTGGATCGCATTTTTGAATGGCGAAGATTAAGGCCAGTGCGACCAACGACTTCTGTCCACCCGATAGCTGGTTCATTTCTCTCATTTCCGCGTCTGAGTCAGTGAATGACACCTTTATTCCGATACCAGTGAACACGTCGGCATTTGTGTCCTCCGGTCCGATTTCCCTGCCCTCATCGTTATCCACCGTTTTCAGTATCAACTTGCCCTTACCCGCAGGTACCAGCTTCTTGAAAACCTGTGTGAAGTACTTCGAGATCTGCTTGAAAGTGAATTGGATCGCTTCCATTTTCCTTGTTTCCAACATCGCCAAAAGTTCCTTGATCTTCTCGTCACCTCTGTCCAATTCCTCTTTGCGTTTTTGCAGTTTCTCTTTTTGGTCTGAAAAACTCATGAACTGGTCCAACGCCTTTTTGTTAACATGACTGAACTTTTTCAAGTGATTATTTGTTTTTTCGAGTTCCTTGAACAAAGCCCTCGAAGACATTTTGTGATACTGCGTGTAAAGATCTTGAGATGGAATCGCGCCCAATTGATTGATCTTCTCCACAGATTCAGCTACCTTCTGTTCCAGTAGGTTTTGTTTACTGGCGTATTTCTCTAAATGCTTTGCGTCCTCATCTATCCTGTCCTGTGCGTCTTTCTCGATTTTCTTCAGCTTATCTAATTCTGAGTCTTCGTGTTTCATTTTTCTTGTGACCTCCTTGATTTTTGTATCTATAGATATTACATCGTTGTTGGACTTTTCTAACTTCTTATCGGTTTCCTCCAATTCGGCTTTAGAGTTTATCAACTGGCGCTTACGATCTTCTAACGATATTTCCTGGAGTGCATGAACCACTTCATCACGTCTCCGGATTAAATTATTCGTTAGCAAATTATCTAACTTGTTTTTCTCCGCTTCTAATTTCATGCGCATAGAGAAGGCTTCTTTGTTTTCGCGCTGCAGCCGTTGGATATCATCATTCAATGAATCTACCTGTGCTTGATCGGCGACAGATAATTGAGATAGGAGTTCTTGATGCAACTCTGATTCAAGACCTTCCTTTGTGGTCTGCATTGCTTCCAAATTAGACTTACATTGAGTCAAAGAACGTTCCTTCGGCGCGCGGAATCTCTCAATACTCGCCAACTCCTCTTTCATCAATCTTAAATCACCCTTGACTTTGTCAAAAATAGCCCTAAAAGGAGAATGTAATTAATACAAATAAAAACGGTTAAGGTTATCAACTTACTTCGCCTTTGATGTTTTTGTTTCTGTCTTTTGCATTTCACTGACGACGTTATTGATGCTTGTTTCAGTTTTACTCAAATCGTCCCTAAGCGATTGCAGCTCGTCCTCGCATTGTTTAATCTGTTCCATTAATTCTGTTCGAGCTTTCTGCATCTCGAGGCGAGAACGAGACGTATTGAAATATCCTCCAGAAATGGAACCTTTCGATGAGACCTGATCTCCTTCCAATGTAACGCAATCTAAACCTGTGGTTCTAGCTAGTTTCGTAGCCACATCCAAATTGCGACAAATTAAGGTTCTGCCGAACAGAAATCGAAGGGCCTTATCGTATTTTTCATCGTAAAGCAATTTTGAGACCATGGGAATGGCATCCGCGTCCTGTGGATAATCCATCACTCGGACATTCAACCTGTTTAAAGGCATGAAAGTGACTTCGCCAGGCAGCTTCTGCCTATTCATCTCTTTCAGAATTTGCGTTCCGATCCTATCGGAATCAATAACGTGGTGGAACAGACGGTTGCCTGCTGTGACTTCGACGGCTGTGTAAATGGACTGATCACAATTGAAATTCTCTATGACCGGTCCATAATAAGACCGTGCTATTTCTGCATCCCTTCCGCCGCGGGCCATAAATGTTTCCAAGACTTTTCGGACAGAATCGCGACCGTTTAAAATAGCTTTACCGGCCATTGAACGTAAAGATTGATCTGCTCTTTCTAATTCATCCTTCAATGAAGCTCTGTTCTGCTGCGCATTATTTTCTTTGCGCCATAATTCACTGTAACAATAAGAGTAATTGTTAAGTTTCATGAAACATAAATATAAAAGCTCTCTCTTACTTCCTGGTCGTTTGAAACTGATCCTTGTTTTTGCGCAATTCATAACATGCCTTGTTATGTTCGTCGATGCAAATGCGTTGCCGTTCCATCTCTTGCGTCTGCTCTTCGATCTTTTTATTAAGTTCAATTTGTTTGGCAGCATCGCGTTTCAAATCCTCGGTTAACTTGTCTCTGTGGTCTCGTTTGTCTTTCAACTGTTTATTCAACGACCTAAACAACAATAAAATATTAATAATCGTTACATAACAGTAAGGAAATGAAAATATACTTTAATTCATTTTGAATCCAACGATCGCGGTCATCTTTAGAAGTAAATTGACTACCTCTGCCTTGTTTGGCATATAGTTCCTTACGTTTTTGCTCCTTCAGACTCAGCTCTCTCGTGCATTCCTCCTCCTTCTTTTTCATAGCCTCATATTGCGGCTTCACCTTTTCTAACTCGGCCTCCTTTTCTTTTATATTATTTTCCAAACGCGTCAATTCGTGCTCGGCGCGTTCCTTGGATTTGTTATCACCCTGCACTTCCTCTGAAAGATCTTTAATGGTAAGATCCAATTTAGCCTTTTCCTTGATCAAATATTGGTTATCCGTGTTTAGAATATCGCGTTCGTCTTTCATAGACGAAAGCCCTTTCTTGGTTTCCTTTAATTTACGTGATAGGGTTTTAATTTGGTCTTGAGCTTTCTTGAGGTTAGCTGCAAGTTTTTCCTGTTCCGAACCAGATTCGCCTCGTTGTTTCTCTAACTAAAATTATTATAATGTTATCGATGATTAAATTAATTACAATCGCTAATTATTACATCTGCCAATTTCCTTTTGTTCTCATTCAATTCAACTTCATGAATAATGTACTCCAAAGCTCGTCTATTCCTATCATGAAGTTGATACTGTTTCAACTCTTCCTTTTCCTCCTCTAAAGTGCTAAGACGATCTTCAATAGTGCGTAAAAACTCTACGATTTTCTCGACTTTCCCTTCTGTTTCTCTTAAAATACCCATCGATTCATCACGTCTCTCATCGTACACCCTCGTTCCAGCTACCTCCCTCAATAATTTCAAACGGTGAGAATCGGGTGATGTTGCCATTTGATTGATCTATTTCAAATGATTTTAATAATTAAAGTAAAATTTGATATATTATTTAATTTAATAACATACCTTTCCTTGTTTAACAATATAATAAGGATTAGAATTTGAGAACCCAGCAGATTCCAATAAATTCATGACTTCACTTCTTGGCACAACTTTTTTGTTTAAAAAATATTGATCCTTTTTAGCACCAATGACACGTCTCAAGAATATTTCATCTTGGTCAATCTGTTAATAATTAATGTAATTAAAAATTGTTCATTTATTATTTATCTGCTAACTTACTGGCACACGATTGTCTGAGTTATCAAAAATAATTTCAACATAGGCATGTACTGATCGAGGGCCAGTACCTTCATGAAGCATGGATTGCCTTTCCTCTGGCCTCAAATGCGAGAATTCATCACTTAGTACAAACTGGATTGCTGAGAGAGAAAATAATTAGGTTCAATGACATCTTATTATTGTATATAATAAATACCATAAAAGAAGTTACTCTTGCCAGAGCCATTCCTTCCAACAACTACATTGTGTCTCTTATCAAAAGGCTCAACAACAGTCTGATCTCGATAACTCTTGAAGCCCTGGATAATAACCTGAGGAATGGAGATATGTAAACAATGCATTCAAATTGGACATAACCTGAGTCTTATGAGAATCTGTAGTCTTTTCTTATTGGCTTACCTGTTTTATGTACATATTGTATATTAAAGTTGTGTGCTTAAGCACATATAATTAGTATTATTTCATACAATGTCAGTTGAATATAAAGAAACAGATAAAATTCCCGCAAAAATGTATATTGTGTTTTGACAGATGTGTCAGCATTGGTTACATTAATTGATTGGTAGCTTCAGTTAGCTTTAGTAAGCGTCGACGTGAAGTTAGGCATAGGATAAAATAAATAGCGATTGGTTGTAAATACGATTAAAATTTATTAATTATTAATTGCATATGAATCAGGAGTAATATTAAGTTTTTATTATAAATATTATTGAGGAAAATGTATTTTGTAGGGGTCTGTTTTGGTGAATTCTAAGAATATGCTCAACAGAGGGAGCTGTTATCAATAATTTGCCGGGCCTGGTGGCATTAAGCATTAAGAATCCGCCATTTTACTTATACTAAGTTCTCCATTTTTCCTCACCATTCTAAGACCCGATTTGTGCAAAAGAATACAATTTCAGTTTTGTAAGGACCAGCAGTCATCTGTAGAAACAATAAGTAAGTCAACAAACCATTATTTTAGATCTCCGAAAAGAGTTTTCATTAAAGCTCTTCAAAAAAACCCGCTCATCTAAATCTTTAACCAAAGGCACCCTTTTGTTTTTCAGATCATGTCTCGTTACCGTGAATGGGATTTGTCGTGCAAAGTATATGTGGGCAACCTTGGATCCTCTGCTAGTAAACACGAGATTGAAAGTGCATTTTGTAAATATGGGCCTCTAAGGAATGTCTGGGTAGCTAGAAATCCTCCGGGATTCGCGTTTGTAGAATTTGAGGATCCCCGCGATGCAGAAGACGCGGTGAGAGGACTAGATGGAACGTAAGTACTAAAATAGTTTAAATCACTAACCAACTTTTAGATTACTGTAATGTTTATGCTATTTTTATAAAATTATGGATACCATTTTTAGTCTATATACAGAATTAAAAAAAATTATAGCATTCTTGATAAATTGAAGATAAAGTAATTTACATGTTTTGCATGGAAATGCATTGATGCAATTGTGATTCATAAGTAAGTTATAATGATGGTTTTATTGCAGGAGATGTTGTGGAACGCGTGTTCGCGTTGAAATGTCCAATGGAAGATCTCGTCGAGGAGGTGGTGGAGGTGGAGGCGGCGGCGGCGGAGGAGGCGGTGGTGGTGGACGTAGAGGTCCACCAAGATATTCGAGGTATGAGATTTGCTTATTCAGTTCAACTATACATGTTTACTGTCATAAAATATTTGTAAACCAAAAAAAAAAGTTTTGTTGTGTCTTCTTGTTCATATTAATAACAAGCAGATGTGCTATGTTCTTGTTGTTAATCATTTTTTTAGGTTGTGTGATTTGGGTTGAGGTAAAAATGCAAAGTTTAATTTTCCACTCTGATTTTATTAAATTAATGGTAAGCATTAATGCCACTGCAAGTTATGCAATTATCATGGATGAGTGGAGAATTAAAGGTTTGTTTATGTAATATGTAACAGGTGGTCCGAAACGTGATTGCACTTGTTCCCAGTCAATTAATTGATGTAAAATACATATGTGTGTACACTTTTATTTTTGTTTACATGTATTTAATTTATTATGATCAAAGTATTCACGTTTCGGATTGCAAACAATGATTTTTAGTAGTGGTTGGCGCAGTGTTGTGTGAGATGTTTTATTTCTTTTTCTTGCTCTGGCAATGGGAAATATAAGAAAATTGCAGAAAAAGATGTATAACAATTAATAATGATGAAATGCAGAGAAATTTGTGAGATTTTTATTTTAGTTTGTTTTGTTTTTGGCACACGTTTGCAGGACAGCACCGCTGCTGTTAACTACTCCCCCCGATTGAGCCCCAAAAAACAAAACTTCTTCCCTCCTGGCCACACATCTCATCATCTTACATCGACTACCACACCACCGCTACTACTACTACATCCACCGTTGGTGGCGCGCCTACCTACTACTACTCAACTCAACTCAACAGCTTCTTTCTATCAGAGAATGGCTCATCAACTACCCCTTCACCATCTCCGCCCGTGTTGTCTCAATATAAACGACAAAGCGCCTACGAATGTCTCAACCGAGCCGGCTTCTACCCCTCAAAAAAGCAAAAAAAAAATCAAAATTCAATTAGAGAAAAACAACAACAACAACCATATATAGATAGAAACTAAAAAAAAGAAAGTAAACAAAAATCATCCCCACATCTATATAATAACTTGAAAGCAGCTATATACAAAATCACTTTCCAACCAACCAGCGAGGCACGTAGATACGTAAAAGTAGTTACTATTTTTTTTTATATTTATAAATATAAATATGATTTTTGTTAATTTTAAGCTCAAAGTCTTCCTTCCGTTTTAAGCAATGACAACTTCAGATTACGCGATTAATTGCTAATCTAGCGATCTGAATTTGCCATTACTATATCTATTATTTAATCATACATAATTTTTGTTCAAACTTCTTTGATTAACTGAAATTTTTACCGAGTTATTATTTTTTTCAATCGATATTCTATTATAATTACTTAATTTTTGAAAATGTAAAATTCATCACGTTTTAGTTTTAATTGCTCTTACATTTAATTTTTTTTGTTTTCATATTCTATTAATTTATTGACTTGCCTTTTTTTTTCTAAGTTTCTATTTGTTTTTTTTTTTAAGTTTTTCTTTTTCGATTATATCCAATCGATTGGATGTTCTTTGCGTACTAATTTCGAGTGTTTTGTAGGTCACGTTCCCCGAGGCGATCGCGGTCCCCCAGGTCTAGGTCTCGCAGCCGCGATAGGCGCAGCCGTTCCGATTCTAGGGATCGCAGATAAAGGTAGAAGAAACGAGTTGAGAAGAGTACCACGAAGCAGAAGACGATCGATGATTATTAACATTATTTTTTATTATGATCAATTCATTTTTCTTTGAAGTTTTGCGACAAAAAAAAGATCGACAACAAAATAATTATCATACAAGTTTATATTTTACGGAACACTTTTTGTTTTTTATGATTTTTATTTTACATGCATGTTCCGATTGTAAAACAAAGAGAAAGCAGAAGAGACGTCCCTTTATTATTTTGTTTTTACAACGTATTTGTTTATTTTTTTTTCTGTACGAATGACCGACATTTTTATTTGTATTATTTCTTTTTTTTATATATATACAAGAAACTATATAAAAAATATATATATGTAGATTACACAAAAAGTACAACAAATAAATCTTTTTTTATATATATAATTATGTAATATAGATAACGCTTTTCTTATATATATATTATCCCCTCGCTCTAATTAGTTTGTTACTATGGTGACTATATACAAATATTTGTTACAAATTGGTTGTGCCGACTAAAGACTCGCTGAGATGTCAGCTCTAGTTCACAAAAGACTATCCTCATAAGTTTAGATGCACGCAGAGATGGTTATCGATCTGAGGGAAAGTACAAGAAATTTCGGTGCGTGTTTTACATGGCATGCAAACGTTTTTCGTATCGGTGGAAATGAATCAATCGCTCCCCTCTATATGTATGTTCTTTTTCTGTTACTACCCTCGTCATTTCTGAAGGAGCGCAGGTCAATATTTTTGCTTGTAAGGTGGCCCGATCGAATTGCCCTTCTTCGTCCGTCGCCCCCCGGTGTTACGTCTCTAAGGGCGGCGAGGGTTCGTTCAGTTAGGTCGCGCGGCGGGCAATGCGAGCATCCAGACATGCCGAACTTTTGGGAATATTTCGGCGTCGGTGGTGGAGGCGGCGGCGGCGCAAGTCACCGCAACCTGCAGGACGGCCTCTTCCAGATCGCTTCCCAAACTTGTAGTCTGCTCGTCCAGGTGAACAACACCAATAACATCACCATCGGTGATCACACGACGAGCGTCCACTGCAATACAAACGAAGCCGCAACCGTCGCCAACAATGGTACAAGCACCAACGACAAGGATCAACTCCTGGTACTGATACCACCCACTAATGGCTTGGCCAGGTACAAGCCTACGGGAAGCACTCTAAGAAAACCCAGGCTCTCTGTAAGTCCATGTCGTCGCGTAGTCAACAAACCACTTTTACAAGAAACAGAAGTTACAAAAATATACCAGTTTCAAATTTATTATTCGCGCTTTTCACGTATTTCTAAAGGTTTCCAATGTTTAAACGTTATCTACATCATGCAAACTGCATTTAATAACAAAGTTAGTTTTACAGGCCTGATATATGTCTAGATAAAAACAATGAAAGCTATAATAGATACAGTAATTTCTCTAAACTTGTTAACCTCACGGCACACTGGGCAAAAAAAATTTGGCGGCGTTGACTTCCAATTTATTTTTCTTGATTACATCATCAATTCCAACAACTTCTTCGCGCCTCCCATTTTGAAAACCACAGACTTACGCTGAAATATTTAATTTTTTGAGTCTCTCGCTGCACAGTAATGTGCCAAAGCCGTACTATGTGAGGTATTACTGTACATACACCATGACTATCTACATTGTTTTTATTACATCCATTGACAAAAGCAAACCAGAAACTTTAGGAAATGATTCGATTGCGAATTGCATCCGCAATGAAGAAACATGCAATCGATTTTCAATAGAGCAACAATTATTTTAATCAGGCGAAGTGCCCTCACCGAGCAATTCAATCAATTAAAAAATAATAATGATAATCGATACGACTTTAATTACAATTATGATTATATTTTAACGAGCCACGTGCAATGAACGTTCGTATTTCGTAGAGCCATTACAGGATTTTGGGGAAAGTTAATAGGCAACGTTTATACAGTTCCAATTTTCATGTCCAATATCATAATTAATTTATCGAAAAGAAAAAAGTGTTGCTTTATCAATCAATCGCTTATAGCAATTAGATAAATTGAGTTTTCGTAATAACATCGAAAAATAAATAAATTATTTCTAATCGTAATTTCTATGCGCATTCTTTGAATCAAAACAATATTTTAATAAATTTACTTGCACAGTTCGTGGAATAATTTTTAATGACTATTTCACTTAGAACATAGAAAGTGAAGGAAATTGTTGAACGCAAAGTGAATGTACATAAACGGAAGTTAAATTCACATATGCATGCATTTACGATTTTCTTATGCACATGTATCTTTTCGTTCGCGCTAATTAGAACAGTGCCTGTTATACTTTTTTTATCTCACGGTACACTACAATTAGAGAATTTGATTCTCGGCACTCCAAATAAAAATCCTAATTAAATTAAATGTACTAAATTTTCTGATCTAGAAAAGTCCAACATTCAAATACTTTCACCTATATTTTCAAATCTTTCGCGCTACACTTGGAATTTCTCGCGACACATAAGTTTGCAGACTATGCACTAGACGTTCATACGTACGTACACTATCAGACCTGAAGATACAATGTACATATTGAGAGTCACCAAAGTGTTGTTGACTTGATTACAATATAAAATGCCGTACATAATTATTACATCTCTCTATTGTCATACCTAAATTTTATAGCTAATTTGAATTAATTTCTAGACATTTGTTATAAATAAAAATATTTTGGTTAATTAATCTAGGACATACGAAAATTTCAAGAAATCAAACACATTGAAACTTATATTGATCTGTTATAATACATGTTTGTTTATTGCAATCAGTTTTTGAATTACTTAGTATTTGTACCATGTCCTTGTTCTCTAACAAATACAAATTACTCGGCAATTGTAAAACAGAATAATAAAAATGTTTGATATTACATTTAAAGAGATGTTTACATTAAAAGAGATAATAATAAAGTTAATGTCATTTAATACAATCATAGATAATTACTATATTAATTACTAAAAATTACTTCCTTGGTAAATGTTAGATTATATCTTCGACAGATGCTCCTAAGAATTATTGATGGTATTTTTTGTTGGTAATGTGCCAAGTCTTCATTATTTCTCACGCATTTGGACTGGTGTTAGGTACGCTTGCCACAGCTGTCGAATTACGTAAAACCAAATACTTTTATTTTTATTGTAACCAGTATATCATGTTTCAATTATAAATAATACATGAGCAAATATATAAAAAAATGACCTCTAATTTATAAGATGTCCCTCGTCATAATCACCATATATTAACTGTTTTTAAATCAAAATTATTATATTTTCAGAATATTTGCTCAAAGATTTAACGACAATACATGATTTCTATAAATATTGCTTCATTGCATCAAATTAGAAAAGTCCATGATACGTAAACCCTCCTATAACGCATACTTTGATAATGCGGATTCCATATAATGCTCTTTCTATATAATACAACTTCATTAGATTAAAAACAGTTCCGGGAAGATACTTTCAAATCTAACGTTAAAATGAAGAGAAATTGATAGCATTAATTTGAGGCATTTGTAGAGGAAAATATGGATTTACAAGTTGAATTATGTGAAAACCAATTAATCTTGGTGGGTTATTATCTTATATCAATTATATAATTATTAATTCTCACGTTTAGGTAAAATTTAGTTTTGAATATATGTTTATTGCAAAACAGACCAGAAATGTAACAAAATATCTACTACTATTAGATTTGTAATTGTAAGAATACTTAATTTGTTATGTTTGTTATGAAAGTCACGAACTTATTTTGTGTAAATTAGTAAATGTGTAAGTACGTAATAGTCGCAATATTTTTCTTAGGTAGTGTTTACTCAACACTACATCATAAATATATTGCGACTTGAAAATTTATTAAAGCAAACAGTGTAGAGTACAGAACCTCGTAGATCGCTGATATATTAAACTTGTTATATGGCGGTAGGAAGCAGTCAGAATGGAGTTAAATCATCAAAAGTAAGTTATTTGTTGATTATTATATTTTGGACAGATTATTGAAAGTGTATAATCAGAATGTTTGCGCAGACGATGGCATGCATTTTTTCTTTTGCAGTTTCACAATGTTGTATACATTATACTAATACTTTGATCTGTATATAATATTGCATTAATACGGTATTATCTTGGTAAGCATTAACAGTTCTAAATTGTTCTAATCAAGGCTTTTTCGTATATGACCAAATATTGTTTGTATTGATTTAAATTTATGCAATGCAGGTTGTACACGCCGTTGCCAGATTTATATGTTTTTTAGTATAAAATTAACTCTGAAAAAAATATATGAATAGAACAACTTTTATTTTTTATTGCATATAGGTTCAGATTTAATATATAACATATGATTAAAAATTAATGATTTTCTAATAAATATTAATACGAAACATAAATTAGTTTCCGATATTACGAAAATTATTGAATTGCAATAGAAAAGGGCCGCATCTGGCAACACTGTGCAACCAGTTGAATAATAATGGGTGCATGAATGCAAATATTCTAATCGATTGTAGTGCATTATCAGTTTTAATCGATAAAAAACGGTAATGAAGTTGAAGATAACTTGCAGAACTAAGCCGAACGATGCAGTAAGTGCGACAATTGCAATATATTATCAATTAGTTAGTTTATCTGTAAAGAAAGTCATCATCCTCTGCAGATTGTGTATTTATTTACAAACAAAGGTCGATAAGGAAAGAGTAAAACAAAACATTGCAAATTGCTTTATTATTTAATCCATTGGAGATAATGAAGCTTCCTTGTTTAGTATGTTGTTGTAATGTCTTTAATAATTCTTTCAGACTGTTTTGGAAGGCCCTGTATTAAGCAATGATGAGGAGAGTGATCTCTGGAACCACGGCTATGTCATGCCGACTGATCACAATAACAGTCCTGCTCGGAGATGGGGCAATAAGGGCTCATGGTGTCGACCCTCATGCATACCCATTTCCATAATACTCATATTAATATTCCTTGTGGTCCTTCTGCCATTGCTTGATCAAGCAACTGAAAAGGCTCTCCAAAAACTCAATGCACCAGCACAAGAAAATTGCCAAAATACTTGCAGGTAACTTTAATCTTAATGTCCTATATGGATGGTTTTCTGATTTTAATTTTAAATTTATTACAGAATTCAATTGGTGGAGAGCATTCCTGATGGTTTGGTATATCCAGATGGGAGCACACCACACTTGAGTACTTATGACGCTTGGATGTATTTGATAAATGAGGCTAAAGAAACTATAGAGATTGGATCATTTTATTGGTCTTTACGATTGGACGAAATCTATCCGGATCCCACTTCCAAAAAGGTTTTCTTGTATTTTCGCTATTTAAACAATTTCCTGTTGTGACCATTGTTCTTTGTTTTATATTATTTTCTCAAAGGGTGATGATGTATTTAAAGCATTGTTAAAAGCTGGAACCCAACGGGACATTAAGGTGAAGATTGCGCAGAGCGCACCCAGCAAGAATCAACCGAACACTGATACCGAGTATTTGATGCTGAGGAAGGCGGCTGAGGTGAGAAGCCTAAATTTCGAGCAACTCATGGGCGGCGGCGTTCTACATTCTAAACTGTGGGTGGTCGACAGACGGCACTTCTACGTGGGCAGCGCTAATATGGATTGGAGGGCTTTGACACAGGTGAAAGAGATGGGCTTGCTTGCAACGAACTGCTCTTGTTTAGCAGAGGATGTCGCTAAGATCTTTGACGTGTATTGGATGCTGGGCATGAAGGCCGCAAAGATACCAGATATGTGGCCAAAGGTACTTGAAACCGAGATAAATATGGAATCACCCATGAATTTGAATCTGGATTTGAACCCAACCGAAACGTACATAGCAAGTTCACCGTTACCCTTCTCTCCGGCAGGCCGTACTTTCGATCTCGATGCTATAATCAATGTAATGCAAAAGGCGGAGAAATTCATCTACATCGCTGTCATGGACTACGTACCTTTAATAGTGTACGAGCCCAAGGTGAGCTATTGGTCTGTTCTGGACAACGCACTGAGATCTGCGGCTATCGATTCCGGGGTCGAAGTAAGACTTCTGGTCAGCCAGTGGAACCATACCAGATCGTCTCAACAGTACTTCCTCAAGTCTCTCGCGGACATTACCGACTCCTACCCGAAAGTGTCCATCAATATTGTGAGTAGTGTACATACTATATAATAAATACAAATAATCTAATCATTGTAATACGTAGCGAAAATTCGAAGTACCGGCAAATGCAGAGCAAGCAAAGATTCCGTTCGCTCGAGTCAACCACAATAAGTACATGGTAACAGACAACACGGCCTACGTCGGCACCTCCAACTGGTCCGGAGACTACTTCACCAATACGGCTGGTATAGGTTTCGTTCTTCATGAAAGTAATCATTACGACAATGAGAGCGGAAACGCAAACTCCACCACAATAAGGGCGCAACTCCAAGCGGTCTTCGAGCGCGACTGGAATTCTCATTACTCGCATCCGATTGGCGTTTAAAAATATAGAACTAGTTAATAAGCAATATACAAGGTAGGATAAGTTAACAAGAATATATTAAAAAAAATAAAGATATACATAAAAAATAAAAACAAGATATTTTAATCTTCAAGAACGGGCATATTTTCCAGATACTCGTTTGCTGTATCTTTGTCCATGCCATGCACCTTCATAAATATTTTCAAGCACAGTTCAGGTATCAGAACTTTGAAGTAGTATTGCGTGGGCTTGTAAATGTCGCAATTGTCGAAATATTTCTCGCAGAGATTGGCTAACGTTTTCTTTTGTTCGATGGAGAAAACCACAGTCGAGACGTTGTACACCAAAAAGTTCATCGTGACCATGTCTTTTCTTGCCCTGTTCATATACTTATCGTGTCGATCATGCCACACTCGACCGTTTATAATATCTAAACAATCTTCCTTGAAGCATGTAAAATATTGTTCGATTAACTCCAGCGACAGATGGGTGCAAGAAAGTAAATTACTATTATGACCATCATCGGCATCTTCTATTTTTTCTACGCTTGAAACTTCAAACCGCTGACTGTCGATTATTTTGCGAGCCTCTTTCAACTGTTCTGAATATTGTTTGCGACGCTGTACATTCTTCATTATATTCATATAACTGGGCACCTTCATACCATACTTGTTATGGACTTGTTTTGTTTTCGACGATTTACTACACAACCAACTATCCAATCCATTAACGCTCTTCGTCATATTACAAAACTTCTTTTTCTTTCTACCTACTTTTTTAACTTGTTCCAAATCAGAACTGTACTTTCTCTTTTTTGAACCACCATCATTCACACTGTCCTGCTCCTCTGATTCTGTGTTACATTTATTTTTGTAAAAATCTTTGCTTGGACTAATATACCTTAAAATACTCGAGTTGTTCAAAGAAGTACTTCTTTTGCATACCTCCTTGACCACCTCCTCCAGACTCTGAATGCTATTATCTGAATCAGAATTAGAATTGCATCTTTGTCTCCTCTGTTTTTTAATATTTTTCTTTTGTATTATTACCTCACTTTTCTGCATATCTTGACATTCTCTTAAATCAGGCTTTGGGTCTTTTTCAATGGAAGTAAATATACTGTTGTCAGCTGAACTAGTCTTTTTAAGTTTGTTAGTAATTGACTTCTTTTTTTCTGGAGATTTGGAAATTAGACTTTTCGAATATTTTACACTTTCATCATTGTTTGATGATTCATCTTTGATTTTTCTAGATTCAGTTGACAATTTACTTGAAGACTTTATGCATTTCACATCATTCTTTTCTTCATTCACTTTAACTGCAGACCCATATCTTTCTGATGATTGTTGAATGTTTAGAAAATTAAACAATACTAATGATTTTTTTGATTTATCACCAACATTGTTTGATTTCTGTATTCCATTTTTCTTTTCACACTTTTCTTCCTTAATATTATTCTTCTTAGCACACTTTTCTTGGTTACTTATGTTCTTCTTGATACATTTTTCCTCCTTAATTCTGGAATGATCCACATCCCTTTCTGGACTCTTTAAAACTGCATGTTGCTTTGTTTTTGTGTAAGGTTCCATTGGCAGCACTGTAGGAGGTGCCACTCGATTTCCAGATTTGCGATGGTATGTGACCACACAATGTCTTTGATCCACTGCTACATGTTTTCCAGTGTTTTCATTGTGTATTTCATTTGATTGTAAATCTTTGTTTGGACTTCTATGGTCATTGCCATTATTGCTTTTTAATTCATGTTGTTCCATACTAGCATTTAAATGATCTGGATTATTGACACCTTCAATATTTGCATTTTTTGTTTTCTTCTCACATTTCTCTTCATTGATTCTGTCTTTCTTCTTGCACTTCTTTTCCTTAATATTGTTTTTCTTAACACATTTTTCTTCCTTGATTCTGGAATGATCCACATCCCTTTCTGGACTCTTTAAAACTACATCTTTTACAATGTCTTTTTTGTGTATTGCATTTGTTTTTAGATCATTCTCTGGACTGCTATGGGCATTGTCATCACTGCTCTTTTGTTCCACGGTTTTGAAGAAATTTGTTATCTTTTTACTACTTGCACTTGACAATGATTTAAATTTCCTTTTGCGGTTATTCTTGTCCATGATAAAAAATCCGCATACTTTGTGCAAAAATAAAATATTAAATATTCCAAAAATGGGTGCCGGTTTTTCCAATATATAAACAATAGCACATAACCTATAACTTTGACGTACGTTTGTTTTTGCTGGTTATGTATAGGATGACGAACGATTATATACGTTATATAAACATAGGGTGGGGCGTAGCTCAATAGTTTCGTCACCTTATGATATGATACAAATTGCTGTTATATGAAACATGATACATATTTGTTTCATATTGTCATTACCCAATTTTAAAAGAAAACTTACGAGTTAGAATTTCATTAAGAGCCAAAATTATAAAATATAAGATTAATTCATATGAGGAATAATTATTTAAAAAGAAGCACTTAATATAGAATTATCGATATTACTTTCGTTTTTAAATACCAGACAAATAAATAATGTATTTTTGTATCAGGAGTGTTTGCGCCCTGCTATATATTAAATATATTGTAATTATTTTCAAATTTTCTACCTTCTCCATTTAATTACTGTAAAGTTTAATTTTGTCACATTATTATGCTGAGCATTGATTATCGTTTGTGTATTTGGTTCCAAATGTAAAAAAGGAATTAAACCGTTGATGACCCGTCTAGACGTACCAAGTATTTTCAAGAAAAATAATAGATTGATTACAATTATAGTGGGTCTGGCAACGTTGGCTCGGTGATTAATCAATACATTTCAATTCTCTAGGTTTGCATGACTGAGATTCAACGTTTGACAACTGATTGTGTCCAATTGTGTCTGGTCTGGATCTGCGTGGTGGTGCTTTTGTATATTTGTATTAGGTGCAAGGCGGTGTCGGCTTTTGCAGGATTTTAGTTGTCTGTAACTGGGAAAGTACAGATTTAAGCGGGTATTGGGATAGGTTAGTGTGCCACTAGTCAGGAACGATGTTTAAATTGACCGAGTCCCTCATGCTGTATGGCATTTTGGTCTTTCAATGGATTGAATACTTGTGGGAGATATATCTAAGTGGAAGACAGGTAGAACTAAAACGAGAAAACCATATTTTGATGTTTACTTCAATGTCTTTCATTTTTTTTTAGTACAAAGTTGCCAAGAAGACAGTAACAATACCAGATGCTCTTAAGGGTGTCATGACCAAAGAGACCTTTGATAAGGCCAGAAAGTATTCAATGGCCAAAAACAGATTTGGTTTGGTAAAAGATACATTTAGCATAATTGTGTCCACAGCAACCATTTATTTTGGTGTGCTAGCATATATTTGGGATTATGCAGAATCATGGAAAATTTATGAGGGAGAAGTGTTTGTCAGCTGTGTCTGGATATTCATCCTGACAACCATACAAACGATAGTAGAACTGCCATTAACCATATATAATACATTCGTCCTTGAAGAAGAATATGGATTTAACAAGCAGACTGCCAGATTCTTCATAATTGATAAGATCAAGGGATTCATCCTGAATCAGGTTCTTACTCTACCTGTATCATCTGTTGCTATAGTAATTGTTAAATATGGCGGCGATTACTTCTTCTTGTGGCTGTGGATTGCTGTCGGTATAATATCGATGGTTCTGCTAATCGTTTATCCGTCCTACATTGCCCCTAGATTTGATAAGTACACGCCACTGCCCGAGGGTGAGCTCAGGACCAGGATCGAGGCACTTGCAACTGAACTTCGTTTTCCATTGACACAATTGTACGTTGTAGAGGGATCGAAGAGGTCATCCCATAGCAATGCCTACTTTTACGGTCTTTTCAACTCAAAGAGGATCGTCTTATTCGACACGTTGCTTGGTAGTGCTGATAAGGGGGGATGTAACAACGATGAAGTATTGGCTGTCATTTCGCACGAGCTCGGACACTGGAGCCATGGTCACGTCACCAAGAACCTGATCATCATGCAGGTCAACCTGTTCCTGATGTTCAGCGTATTCGCAATGACTTTCCGCAATCCGCTCATCTACAAAGCCATCGGATTCAAGATCGCCAGACCCGTCCTCGTCGGTCTCATGGTGGTCATCCAGTACGTGATGATGCCGTACAATGCGTTGATTTCATTCCTGATGACCTGCCTGTCCCGTCGGTTCGAGTTCCAGGCAGATCGCTTCGCCATGTCTTTGGGTAAATCGGAGCCTCTGAAGAACGCACTAGTCCAGCTCAACAAAGACAATTTGGGATTCCCTGTTTACGATCCACTCTTTTCCTCTTGGTATCATTCGCATCCTCCCCTATTGGAGAGAATTGCGGTTCTCGAAGGGGGAAACAAGAAGAGCGAGTAATTTGATTAATGTATATTGTTTATTTGATCATCCGTTGTTATTTTTTACCTCATATATAACTGTAACGAGATCCCTGAAACCCATGTATCAATCGATAATAATCGATCCTTGTTAGATGTTCATATTCAATTTCATTGATCAAAATATAATAATCTTAATGTATCTGCGAGTATAATATGCAAGCAATCCTTATCAATGTATGCATGCGGCTTTGTGAAATTCGTCATATGACTTATTCAAATTTATTCGGTAAACCTGTTTGTTAATGTTTAACGTGAATTCAAAGATATTTATTATGTGCAAATCCTTCGACGAGGAATGCAAGAATTAGAAAGAATCCGAATCCGAGAGAATTCCAAATTGGCATATGAGGTGAAGTTGAAGCGGTGAGAGGACGTCTATTGGTAGACCTGCGTGAGAGTCAGCCAGACTTTTGACAAGTCGACCGTGTGATGTCATATTCAGGTGTGGTATTGTGAGTGATTGTAAGCGCGGCCGAGCGAGGGACGCGCGGGGCGACAGTAGTGGTAATGAAATTGGCATGGCCGACTGATGGTGTTAGTGATTCGTGTGAGGATATTCGAAAATCGTTCAGTGATTGTCGCGAAGGAGCTGCCGATCGGTTCACGATCTAATCGTACAGTGCAAGTGGTAGACGCACATCGTACGCCTCCCACCGCCGCCCCCGTACCTCAGCGACCCTTATCTCTGCCAGTTATCAACGAAAACAAATGGAATCTATGGGTGCGTTTAGTTACACTTTAGTCTGGTTGTCTAACCGAATCGTGTGGTCAGTGGTGGACATGCATGTGTGTATGGGATATATGTACGCGTATGTGTGAGTCCGTGTATGCATGAGTGCAGGTTGTTGGCCATAAACATGCCTGCCCCCTTTCACCCCGGGGAAAGCGCGATGAAAAAAACCGACCCCCGAGGTGGGAAGCCAACGGGGGCCCCCGAGGCGCTCTCACCGCACCCCTTGCCCATCCCGTATTTCTGCGTTTATCCGCCCGTCCGTCCATCCAGCATCTTCCCTCTTTCTTCCTCGCATGCACTTCTTTGCGTATTTTTGGGCGACATTCCCCAACCAAGCTGTTGCCTTCTTGCTCACGCTCGTTCTCTTGTTTACCCAGGCGACCCACTCAAAAGCCTTGACCACAGCAAACACATCAATTTATGAATCAATTAGCAATGCATTTAGCACTCGTTGCGAACGCTAGCGATGTATGGCACTTTCAAATCCTTGCCTCGCACGCTGCTGGAATTCGCTGATAAAAAAATAACAAGGAACAGGAAGGCACAGATAGAAATAATTCTTCAGCAGTAGGAACAATAATTTGAAACAAAAAAACTTTAATGCGCTTCTTTGAAATAAAACACTAAGTAATCCAATTATCAATGGGAATCAATGCAATCAGTAACCTTGTAAGAAGAGAAGGAATGCTTTCTTTACATTCCATTCAAATGTAGAAATTTGCAGAGGATTTTGCATTTGGAATTTGTAAATAGAGGCAAAGTGTGTCAATGGTAGAAATTTCCTTTTCATTCTTCTTTTTTGTGTCTCTGTTGCATTGAGTCCTGCCTCACAAGTAAGCCAATTTCCAAGTTCCACTAGAATATCTCAAAATGCATACAACACCTGAGCATTACTCATCGTCATGTATAATAAAATTAAATATAGTTGTTACATAACATAGTGATTGTGTTTTCTGTTGCAGCTGTAAAGTGTTGATTGTTGAAAGATGTGCCACAAGCAAAACAGATTGTATGAGGTGCTGCAACCGAGGGACAGGATGCTACTGCATCAATGAGCCATATCATTATAGTGCAAAATGTGATTGGATGACATTTTACTCAGCTGCATAATTAAAAGCGTGTGCATCGTTAAATTAATTTGTTCTCCAATATTACCTAGTTAGTTAGTATATTACAATTGTTAGTGTGATCTTCAAAGGTTTGCAATGTCGTTCTTTAATAATATAAAGAAGGCGTTGCACCTGGGCGGCAATGACGCGAAGAAAAAGAAGGTGTTCAATAATGTCCGCATGGACTGCGATCCGGCCGAGTTCTGGGATATGATCGGTGAGCTCGGAGATGGCGCATATGGCAAAGTGTACAAAGCCCAGCATAAGCACACCGGGCAGTTGGCCGCGGCGAAGATGTGCAGATTGGACGGCGACGACGATCTAGCCGATTTTATGGTCGAGATCGATATTCTCTCCGAGTGCAAGCATATTAACATCGTCGAACTTCACGAGGCCTTCCAGAAGGAGCAACAACTGTGGATGCTCATAGAATACTGCGACGGAGGCGCTTTAGACAGCATAATGACTGAGCTGGAGAAGCCGCTGAACGAGCTGCAAATTGCGTACGTTTGCCAGAACATGTGCAAGGGCTTGGAATTCTTACATCGATCGCACATCATTCACAGGGATCTGAAGGCAGGCAATGTGCTGTTGACGATGGCCGGCGGGGTCAAGCTCGGTGAGTGTTCATAATTACTGTTTGTGATTCACGTGTGCTGGTGAACCAATTGGCCCCAGTTAACGTAATCTTACAGTTTGACATTAAAGTGTCAAATTAATAATCGTCAATTCCAGCTGATTTCGGAGTTTCGGCGAAGAACAAATGTACTCTGCAGAAGCACGATACCTTCATCGGGACGCCGTACTGGATGGCTCCGGAAGTCGTCCTTTGCGAAACTTTTCGAGATAACCCGTATGATTTCAAGGTCGACATATGGTCGATGGGCATAACGCTGATCGAGTTTGCACAGATGGAGCCGCCAAACCATGAGATGTCTCCAATGCGAGTCTTGTTGAAGATTCAAAAATCAGATCCGCCGAAATTGGAACAGCCTTCCAAGTTCTCAAAAGAATTCAATGACTTTATATCCACCTCTCTGGTGAAAGACCCTCAGAAGAGGCCCACATGTGAAACTCTACTTAGGCATCCATTTATTAATCGCACTTTGGATTCCAAGCCTCTTTGTGATCTCCTATTGGAGTATAGGGCTGAAGTGGTCGAGGAGGAAGTTACCGACGAGGACGCAGAGGTAACGTACTATTGTTCAATTCGATTAAATTATTTTTAACTGCACACGCGCTTTTTCATATTTTATAAAAATCAACAAAATTTCGCATTTGTTTTTCATGCTTAGCGCGGTAGGAAACAGCGCAAAAATAAAGAATTGTATCAGAGGATTGGTAAGTTGCTAAATTTAACGGTCAAAAATATATTTTTTTATTTCTATGTATTATCTATCCTATAAAGTTTTTTTTTAAATGTTTGAAATTGTGCCAAAAAATTATATAAAATAATAGTAGCAATGCGATACTGATATTTATCCTATTTCATTCAAAATTACTTTATCTATATCATGTTTTTGTTTTATATTAGAGCACCGATCTTTAAATATGAATTGCGATAGTTGACGTTTCCATACACAATTTTAATCAATGTTTTAATATACTGAAAATTTGACAGGGCATGATGTTGTTTTATGTGTATAAACTTCCATTTGATGCATGATATAAAATGAATGTATCTAGTAATGGTCGATTTCTATTATAATATATAAATGGAAAACCACTCACATTTCAACAAACATTCCAATCTTGTGGCTTTAGATAAGCAACGGTTTATTACTCATACACTATATTTTAAATTCTATTTTGCAAATTATTTAATTTTTACTATATATACATTATTATGTCTCTTTATATTATATATCCAATATTAACGTTATGTCTTATCCTGTGTTTTTTAAATGTGACATGAATGTTCTCATTTTGCTTTGTTTGTCATGCATGCGGCTCCCCGGGCATGCATACACAGGTGAGACTATTAACATATTATGTCTTTACCAATAAACAATATGAAATTCGCTGGAATCATTGAATTTTATCGATTATTGTAAGTAACTGAATTAACTTTTTTTATTATTTTTTGCCTACTATAGGACAGCAGAACGTCGCACATCGAGGATGATTGCAATTCCGTGCAGAGCAATGATGTTGACGCTAAAGGTAGTTTGACGAATTCGTAGGAGAATAAATATATTTATTTCTTTAAATTTTTACAGTTGTTACTGAAGCGTCAACGTCGGCGGCTTCGGCATCAGCAGCACCTGTACCACCACCACCGCCACCTAAAGAAAGTGCACCAGAGGTGCCACAGGCCCATACATCAAAGATGGCTTTGGCGAAGAAAAATTCCACTTCCAGTAATGAAGGCGATAAAAAGCTGGTAATGATTATTTGTTAGAGTTCGTTTGCGTTTAAATTATTAATTTGTAATTTAATGTTTGTGGCTAATAGCCGGAAAAACGAGACGAGGTCCACAGGAAGACATCGCGTGAAAAGGGCCCAGCACCACCTCCACCACCCCTACAGATTCCTTTGCCTCCAGAGAAAGGACCTGCACCCGCACCGCCGGTGCCGCTGCCAATACTTCCAACCCCTCCATCCTCACCTCTGAGTCCACCCGCAACACCGCCTCCAATACCTCCGCCTGACGATAATGCCGCCAAGGATATTATGGATGTGGCCTTTGAGAAACTGCTAACAGAAGAGAAGAACGTGGATCTCCCCGATGCTGTACCTGAGGAAGCAGTAGTAGCAATTCCGCCGCCGCCTCCACCTCCGATGTCTTCAACAGCGTCTTCCGTAGTGGTTAACAATGCTGCAGATATGATAAGCAACATGGTTGTAGTTTCAACGCAAGCTGACAGCAATAAGATGAATACCTCTACGATTATTATTAACGACGTTGCTGATCCTTCAAATAGTTTAGCATCGAATATAAGTCAAGTGAGTACAACTTGCATTTATCCGATCGGCGATCGCTTAACACAAATGTCGCAGGTTACTGTGGTCACTACTCATCCTCCGGTTTTGGTGGACAACAACGTATCCTTGTCTCGGTCTTCGCCTAGCAGCTCTGCGAGTACCAGCAACAATGAAGTAGTAATCGTTTCAAATGAAACTAATAAAACTCGTGTTAACGAGGCATCCTCGTCTACCACCTCGACGGCGTCTGAAGATGAGTGTTACCCATCCCTGGATTCTCTCGACTACCTCGGACAGACTGAATATAGAGATAAACCACTGAAGAAGTTAGACGAGAGCGAAGTGTTGATTGTCGACTCGAATCATTTGATTAACGATTCCGGCTTAGACGTTTCTCCAGATAATTCCCGTTTGCTTGATACTAGCCACGTGAGCGTTGTTCGTATCGACGAGGAACGGGTTCAGGTTAAAGATTCTGCAACTTTTATGTACGACGATAGAAATTCCGTGCAGAGGTTGAGCGGTGGCGACAAAAACAGCAGTAACAACACAAGCAGCAGCGGTGTTGAAGATAAAAAACTAAACGGCGACAATTACGTGTCCAGTGAGTGCGGTAGCAGTGACCGTGCCAAGTCTGACGTTGAGAGCATCTCCATAGCAAGCCACGATAGTAACAAGGAGAACAAATCTGAAGGCAACGAGGAAGAGGTAGTGGTTCTAAGAAAAAAGACGCCACACGTTAAGAGCAAGGAAGAGCTGATGCAGCATAATCTCAATAGGAAGACGCGAAAGCGAACCAGAAAGTTTGTCATCGATGGTGTTGTTATAACAACTACTACGAGCAAAGTGATTTATGGCGATGAGGATAATTTTGTCAGTTGTGATCCTCATGCGGACCGGAAGCAGGAGTTGCGCGAGTTGAAATATCTACAGAAGCAGGAACAAAAGCAGTTCCAAGAATTGGCGGTTAAAGAGAGTGTAGCCATCGAGCAACAGGAAAAGAAGTTTGAACAAGAGAGGCTTGCATTGGATAAAACCTATGAGACCGACCTAGACATGTTGACTCGGCAACAAAAGATGCAAATTGAGCGGGCAGAAACTCAACAGGACGCGGATCTGAGGACGACGTCGAAGAAGATCCGAGCTGACCAGGAACGGGATTTGAAGCAATTCCGGGAGGGTCTGAAACAAGAGGTGAAGCTGCTAAAGGCGGAAATAGAACGGTTGCATAAGGATCAACGCAAAAATGAGTTTAAACTGAGAAAGGACAAACTGGACGCTGAGCATTCCGAACGTGAAAAGCTCTTCCTGGAGAAGCTGAATGATAATCACGAGAGCTCTTTGCGGCGATTGAGCGACTCGCATCGGGAAAAGATCGCCCTGATGGAGCGTCAATTTTTGCAACAAAAGCAACAGCTTACTAGAACGAGGGAAGCCGCTCTTTGGGAGATCGAGGAGAAACAGATACACGAAAAGCATCAGCTGATGAAACGACAGCTAAAAGATATATTCTTCTTGCAAAGACACCAGATGCTTATCAGGCACGACAAGGAGATGGAACAAGTAAAGAGACGTGCCAATAGGAAAGAGGAGGAATTGGTAAAGACGCAGACGACTGAGCGGCGATCGCTTCCAAAGCGGATCAGAGCTGAGATGAAGGCCCGCGAATTGATGTTCCGCGAATCTATGCGCATCAGCATTACTGGTTCTGGGGATCCAGAAATGGAAAAAAATAAGTTCAAAGAGGTATTGTATTAGCAAGACGTGTTTCGATTGCATACTTTATAATATTTCTTTAGTTTCAAGAGAATGAGAAAAAGAGGTACCAGGCTGAACAGAACCGTTTTGAATTGAAGCATAAAAGGCAATTGGAGGAGCTGCGTGCTATGAGCGATGCTACTATTAAGGAGTTAGAGCAGCTCCAGAACGAGAAGAGGAAACTGCTCATGGAGCACGAGACGCGCAAGTTGAAGGAGCGCGAGGAAGCCTTCAACAAGGAGCTGAAAGAGTGGAAAGCGCAGTTGAAGCCACGTAAACAGGTTTGTCAGCGTACCATATTCATACCAACATCTCTATATCCGTTCTAAACTACAACACATTTTCTCTTCTTGGTGGTGTAAATAACATATTTATATAAAAAAGCACTAATTCGGTGGTTGAAATTAATTCTTACATAATAATCATATTTTGCACACAGATAAAAACCATCCACAATAATTCATGTGTTGCACGGTTAATTTTCTATACATATATAAATTATTTTTCTCTGTTTTCTTTCCACTTCTCTTTCTCACTGGGCAGCGATTGGAGGAGCAATTGTTGCTTGCGCAGATCAATAGGTCTCGGGCGTGGTCAAAGGATGCGGGTGTGGCTGGTCGGGGCGTCGCGGGCGTCCGCGACATTGACATGATATCGCCGTCCTCGACGCCTTCGACACCCTGCTTCCCCGAGGCACCCCGTCACTCCCTTCTCGGCCACCATCGGTCCTTCAGCACTGGCGTCGCCGATAGACGAAGCGTCTTCCTTGCACCCTCCACTTCCGTTGACACTATTCCTCTCGAAGATTCCAACGCCTAGCATCAAAGCTTGACGTTATTTTCTTTTAAACACTACACATTTTGTTTTCGTTTTGCGCTTGTACTTTTATTTTAATTCTTTCGCTCTCCGATCTTGTTGATCTACTTTCAATCAAGTCTCTCCATCCCATCATATATGTCCTATAAAGCGCTTCAGAACGTCTTCAAATATCGCAATCATCGCTTTGTACATTTCATTTTAAAATACCCATATTTTTATTTTTATTTTTGTTTTGTTTTTATTATTTTTTTTTGTTTTGTGTCGTTTTTATCTCATTTTATCCTCTTGTCAGATTCTCCAACAGTACACTACTAAATGGGATCTAATGATTCAGGTTGGTGTTTGCTCTAATAAGTTAGCTTCAAACTTTTATTTACTATCTATTATTCGTTTTTTTTGTAGCTTGCAATTAATAATAATATAAAGAACCTAATCTATTAAGGGATCAGTAACACTACTTAACACTGAACATTAAATATTAATTCTGCTTTTCTTCCGCATTTTCTGATTTCCAGATCGATTCATGTGCAATCTTATCTATTTTATAGTTATATTAAGCACTGATGAAGTTTGCTGAAATTTCGAATTGCTTATGAATCGATCTAATTATTTTATAGTGATATGTTTTGTTTTTAATATGATATAAATGCATTTTATTATATTTCAGGGGAAAGATGAAATTAAAGTCATAGAACATGCATGCTCTCTCTCTCCGGTAATGTTTGATCCCTTAATGTACAGAAGGCGATGGAAGTTCGTTTTCGATGTTTCTCATTCAAGTTTGATGGGAATCTCGCAAATGTTTCATCGCCCATATATTTTCATCAAACAGTATTATTAGCTTCTTACGTTGATTCCGTTCTCTATTATATATCGCCATGTGTTTGGATGTTGTTAACGGCTTTCGTTCGGTATTGCAGAGACTCGAAGAGACTTTCACGCATCAGTTGGATGAACAGGAGAAGGTGCACGGACCGGTGAGCCCACTGACGCTGCCCCCCGATCTGCCGGAGTTCAGCAGCCCCGAAGGGTCCAGGATTGGACACAGCTCGACGCGCAGCAGCCTGTCTTCGGTTTCTGAAAGTTGAGAGGCCATTCAATTTTCCCTTCTTACGATGATTTCCCTTTCTCTTTCTTGTACATATTAATTATTATCGATATTTCTTCCGAGTACTCTTTTATACGCGATCTAAATATTTAAATTACATATACATATTTAATTAATCTAATCAGGTCAACTGTAAATTGTAAATCACTCGAGACATACTTTTTTTTCTTTTAATTATATAAAAAAGAAAAACGCTTATTATTATTTTGTTTTAATAGCAACGAGAACTTCTTGTTTATTGTATAGGGATTATCAGTTTTTTAATGTCGCGCGCTTCCTTTCCTTTAAGAGGATCCGACGAGTTTCGAAACTACCGAGCTATAACCTACTGCTGTTATTTATTTTCTTTTTTTTTAAATTAACATTTCCCACTACTGAAATTTGGCTTCTAGAGAATAGTCTGATTGTGTATAAAGATATATATTATTTTATAATTATATTTAGCAAATTTATCCACGATATACATAGTATAAATATAATATATTATTTGTAAATTATTAAATTATGTTATTATTAATTAATGTTTAAAGCAGGATAGTTGCGAGACGTGCGAGAAGGAAGTATTGATTTTATTTGTTTTCTTTATTTTTTTATATATAAAGATATATTGTTGTCGGCAGGATAACAAGTGAGTATTTTTGCATTTGGCTGCGGCCTTCGCGAGGGACATTTTTGAATGAAAGCTATTATAAATAATGTTATATGTACAATATAAGAAAGCGAAAGAAGGTCTATGATAATGTACAGTCATTATGTGTAACCAGTGTGTAATTATTACGATGTATGTAGATTACAAGAACGCGAGAGAGTGAGAGCAAGAGTGAATGGTGGTAAATCAAGAGACTCGAAACAAATATTATTAATGATAATACATGCATATTATAAATGGAACGGTGTTTGTTGATTTGTCTCTCCTTTTGCTACTGCAATCCCATATAATCAATATATATATATATCATTTTTTTTTGTTGACTCATGAACACTTTCTGCCCAACGGGTAGGACGAATGCGAAAATTGCATTAATTTAGTGCATAAATAATGTATAAGTTCTAGTCTGTAGTATTCGATCTGTGGCATGTAGTTTTATAATTCTATATGCACCACCAATCTATACCACACACCTCGGTTGGTTAAAAAAAAACGAAAGCTGTATACACGCCTATCCATCCTCCCTTCTATCCCATTTGTAATTGAATAAAAGTAAACTATTTTTTTAACTTCAAATCGTAGTTACGGTTACCGATTTATTTAATTATTAATTGATAAAGACAGGGATGATCATTATTTTTAAGCAAAATGCAATTAGGATGTATTTTGTAACTGATTTAATCAAATTATAACTCTAGTATAGTGAACTTTCCTATAACGCGATTAATTGGCAACCCGTAACATGAAACTCAGAATTAGTAACTTAAATCAGATTAATTCGTACAGCGTTCTATGGAAACTGAAAAGTGGAAACCTAATTCTAATTCATTATCCAATCAATGTTCGTTTTACTCAAATTGATACTTTTATTTATGCAATACAATACAAAATATAAATATTTAAATTAATATTTCTATAATATTAATAAAAATATATACAGAGTGTACCAAATAATAAATACACTTAATATAGAGTGGAACCAAGCTTAACGAGGTTAATCCGTTCCAGAATTTCTGGATTTTTACTTTTATAGTGAAACAATTTTCCCCTATAAACTAATGTAAAATACGATAATCCTTTCCATGTCGAAAAAAAAGTATAATTTGGTCTCGCTTCTTAATCATTTTGCTTTGCATATCTATGGTTATTTTTATTTGGAGACGTGCTAATTTTGCACACAAAAAAATCATAAACAACACTAACATGTTAATAGAATGACTACTAACACCAGGAATCAAACACGGTGAAGTGAGTTTACGCTTAACTCCATTTCTTTATATTAGTTGTATCAATGCGTTGTCTTTCTGGAGGTTTCTTTATACTTTTTACATTTATTTATATAAAAAATGGTACATAGTTTGTTTCTATACTATAGTAATTGTTGGACACAATACATTTTTTGTTTTGCTTTTACAGTAAATACAAATTATATTTGCAAAGTATAGTCTGCTATAAAGAAAGATGACAAGTTATAATATGTGAATACAAGTTTTGAAAATGATGTAGCAGGCGCACAATTCAAGACTTCTCTTCTCCTCGTTATACGAAACGTCGTTCGTTAAGTGAGTCAGTTTTGTTATAATTTATTTTGACCACGTTAAGTGAAATGTTAAATAAACGAGATGCTCGTAAAAGGTTCCACTGCATTGAATATATCTTATTATAATTATTTATTGGAAACAAATATATAACATAATATAAAAATATGTTATATTTCAGAATAAAATTAGAAATTAATAGAGACATATATGAGTATTGACTTATTTATGAAAACTATAATATTTAAACTCATCTTCCACTAATTGGTGCTTATTTTTAGATAATAATAGCACTGTGAAAAGGAACTAAATGTTATAAATATTGTCTGCAGTCGTTTCGGCACAATTGAGCTTTGTTTTTATTGCTAAGTTGGTTCTGTGTCGGCATGTGTTTGTGTATTATTGATATACATTTTTGTGCAATTATGCGCAAATAATGATGAAATCTATAATAATATACTTCTTTATTTGTTGGTTATCGATTTTTCATTGATTCATTTTGTTTCAATCTTTAGTTCTTTTTGGAAATTGATTGACAACGCAATTGATTGAATCAAGAAAGCCAATATTTTCTTTATTTGATACTATGCAAATAAAATTACTAGTAAAAAAGTGAATCTCGTTGAAGTTATATTTTGATTTTACTTATTATTTTATATCTGTTTTAAATCGAAATGATTTTCGATATTTTGAATATTTAATGCAACTGTCTGTGGTTCAAGAAATAGATATTAACGCGGAAACATTCAACTCTACATGGACTACTTGAGACAATGAAAAGAAGATATCAATGTTTGTTACAAAGATTTAGAAATTCTCGCCTGGGATTATAAAACCATTTGAAAGTGACATAGCCGTATTGATTTCTCCTTTGCAAGAATAATTGATAGAACTAAATAAGAATTTAGAATCAATTTTCACACAAATTTTTGGAATTGCAAATTGCGTAAAAAAGAACGTCAGATTAACAAATATCTTATATCAATATCATTTTAAGATTATACTATTTGTTTTCAAAGGGGGATTGAAAAAAAAAATGAACTCGTACCAAAAACTTTTTATTTCCCAAATGTAGATAAAAAAAATTACTTTAAGTTCACTTAATTCATGCTTGCGATTGTTAGCAATTACAGAGTCGATCGCATTTGGAGCCGTTCTTGGAAGTTTTCCCATTGTTAGTAATGTGGTTGTTATTTCTGCAACACCCTGTGACACCTGATATAAAAAGTATTACTAAAAAAATATTAACCAACTGTGCATTACAATATACAAATGGTTTGATTGAAAACTTTTTTATTACGGTTGGTGTAAATACTAGTTTAGAACAGGGTTTTCTAAACTGGGAGGAGCGGACTAGTCTAAGGGGAGGCGCGAATATTAGTCACAGTGAGCAATTTTTCCAAATCACTGCTAAAGTTTTATGTATTTTATGAAATGGAGGCGCCAAATGATAAATATTTTTCAGGGAGGCGTAGTAACATCAAATCTGGAAATCACTGGTTTAGACGACTATTGGTAACAAGCACGAAGGGTATTATTACGGTTTTCCATCTCTTAAATACAATCCACATTATTTCCCTCTATAAGCTTTACACTTTACAAAATATCACACTGTCGTGTTTAGCCAAGGCGAAAAATCTATTTTATTGATCTTTCTGATGTATGATTATATCACGGGCCCTCAATAATTGGACTAGGAATAAATACCTATTCGGTAGGTATTTATTCTAGAACAACAGTTTGTTTAAAATGGCATCATGAAATAGTAGTGATGATGAAATATACGCGTATAACATAACCAATCATTCGAATGAGTTCCAGTTTTGTCGCTTCCATTCAGCGATTTTAAAGGAAATGAAGACGAAGGTAAGGCTGAAGATGGTCAGCAATAGACAATCAACAATAGAGGCATTTTTGGGACGCGCTGGTGTTAACATTTTCACAGACAATCTCTAAAGTGTATGTGATATTACAAGTTTGTTCATTGCATTGTTAATGGCAGAAAAAAGCAATTATAAAAATTAGGAGCTATTTAGAGACATGAGGAAATCTGTGAAATGGAAAACAAATACTGCAGAAGATTTAAAAAAGTTTTTGGGTCTTATTATACTAATAGAAATTAGGAACTTGTGATGCGACAAGTTCCGAATTTCACGATTTTGCCCGCTACACGGTGCAGATGCCGCACAGAATGTGTTAATAGAATTCTTGAAGACGATTTAATTACCCACAAAATATACACAATTCACAGGAGCGGTAAATTATAATTAATAATGGGTAGGCTAAACAGTGTTTCAGGTTCTTCAAACAAAGTTAGGGTTGTCATTTTTGAAACGGTTAACTAGGTAAATATTATAGTGTTTAATAATATCACTTCAATAAAGTGAGAAACAAATATTTATTATTTTTATAATTTATTAGGCATAAATAACATACAAATACATCTGGCTTCTAAATATATTAATATCAATGAGTATATATAACTTTCGAGTTTCAAAAAACAAGATTTTTTCGATTTTTTTTTATTAGAGTTTTAATTCGTTCAATCATCATATTACTTCAGTAAAATGGTCAAAATACGAAAGTCAATACAGTGGTAAGTACTTTTTGTTCATTGAGTTAAATGAAGAACTCGCAGTTTTAATTTGATGTTTTCAGGATGAAAATTAATTTGATGAATAGGCAACCGATATAGCTCGATTCGCAGGAAGAGTATAGCTGGGCTAGAGCTGCAGGATGGGTGCGTGCGCGACTCGCCTCTCTCCACAAAGTCCGAATCCTGGGTAGAGTAGGCAGCGGAAAGGCAGTCGCCGTGCGGGCGTTTTAGTGCCTGGTGTGCGATGTGTTACAACCACATATCAACAATATTAAAGGTAAACCGTGTAAGAACAATAACAACAGCAGCAAGAGCAGAAACGGAGAAAGAGTGAACGTTAAGCGTCCTGTGAACTTCACGTACGCATAAAGACAATGTGATTCCAGCACCAAACATATCCAAGGAATGTCTTTAGCCGCACCAGTGGATCCATCGGTAAGTCCGGAAGAGTTCGTCTAACATTTAAATCAGGTGTCCGCAATATCAGTCGTGGATATGCGGTCATCAGCAGAAGGAGTCGGACGCGCGATTGGAAAATGTTGTAACGTCGGGCTGATGTAATTGCGCTCCTCGGTAATTGAAAGTGGTCGCACGTACGTTCTGTTGCTGGATTCTAACGGATTCACTCTGCTGCGTTCTCACCTTTCCACGCAATCCACGTTTGATACACATAGCACCTAATAAAAACAAACCCCCATCCTTTTATACCATTAACAACAGCGACGAATGCAATCAATAATGTAATTTTCCCCATCGTCGGACTCGTCAAACCGATTACCATCATCCTTCCAGGGTGAAATTAACCAGGATCAATTTGTATCCTGATACACACTACTCTTCTACTTTCTTCCCTCTACCTGTCCCATGAAAGACACACCCAATTAATTATCGACTAAACGAAGCCCTTTTAATTTGTCGGCAATCAAGTTAAGTTTGCAAGACTTACACCCTCTAATCTGATTTAGATTATATGACCAATCTGGAAAACCATTTTCATACACGATGCTTTGATTGATGAGGAATCGCACCTGTTCATGCGGGATGTTGATTCGAATCACGATAGACGGAAAATAATGTACATCGTTATTCTATGGAAATTGTTTGGTAACCATGGTGATGTTCTGTTTTTCTTATGCAGCGAGAAAAATCAATTGCATACATTATTTTCTAGTTATATTGAAACTTCAGCGTTCTTTGAAACTAATGTTACCAGAGAGATATGGTATAAAAATGTCGTGCAGACTATTCATGTCTTCAAAACTCATATTTTTCTCATCATTGATCAACGCATCAGGTATCGATTTTTGTACGCTATATAGTTGATAAATAATATTAACAAAAAGTAGATCAACTTTTCAATGTTAGATAAACATCTTTTTCTTATTAGAAGGTTGTATTTACTTAACTTTAAGCAGATATGGACGTATTAAACAAACAACTATATGCACTTTAAAATTATTTTATAAAATTCTCTTAACATTATCTACTATTTAACATATTTATTGACTATTGGCTAATTGCAAAAAAAGTACGCATAAAGTATTGTATATATTCAAAACACTTTAGATTAGCCTAATAAAACGACAATATGTTAGATTTTTAATATCAATCAATAAAATTTACGATTTACTGCACATCTGAATCTGTAGTTAAACTACCACGGCACACTTAAATAATGAGGATGTTTTAATTTTGATATTTTACTTATTGTGAACATCTTTGGAAAATAATTTGAGCCTAAGATCCTCAGGTTGATAGGCAATTGTATAAATACTTTTTGTCCAAAAACAAAGATTTAAAATAAGTATAATTTCATTTCAGAAATGTTTAGGTCATTAAATATTGTACAGTAAGATATTATTGGTATAAGTTGATTTTATGACAAATTTTATTGCATATATATTTATTATATAATCAATCATAGATAAGTATTCAGTATTAGTTATAGTTATTGCGGTATTAAATCGAAAAATAATCTCCTACAACAATGTTATATCATTTATTTTCACAATTGTTTTCATAAAATTCTTTACAAGAAACAACCGATTTATTATGGATGCGATATAGAAACATGAATCTTGCTACGAAAAAAAAATACGATTGTTTTTTGTTAACAATGAAATTATCTTTGTAAATTATCAACACACTGTTAATATATATTGAAATACTGAAACTATAGCGACGATGGGATTCTCACACTGAATTTATTGCGAAGCTGATAGTTGGTCAGACTTTTTTTCAAATTCTATTTAAAGAATCATCGTCTCCGGATGTGCCGAAGAAGAATATAGTACGCATTTGTTCGTTGTATAAATCTGGAGAACCGTCCACAATTATAGACCGGTTTCCGTGTTGTCATACAATTCTAAATTATTCAAAATTGCCGTAAGCTCCCAGACCCCAGGTTAAATCCTTAATATAACCGCTCACAAAGTGAATTTACGCGTAACCGCTCAACACTTAGCAACTTATGCTGCCTCAATCAATTTGTGTCTGGTGTTTTGGATGGGCGCAGGGGGATGAGATGATGATGTTTATACCGATTTTAATAGAGACGATAATTACATTGTTTCAAGTAAATATTGGCTTAACAAGTCAATATCAATTCGCCAACAATTGGGTAGAACTTTTTATAAAATTTCTACTGTTATAAAGGTTCTACTGTATTATAAAATAGGAAACAACAACAATTTTTCTTAATTTTCTTATTTTACTAACGCATATTTTCGTATATCCACATTTTTTTTTTATTTATGAAGAATATTTTAAATAGTTTTTTTTTTGTTGCATTTAGAATTTCTTGAATGGTGAAACGCTGATGAATATATTTATTCTATTATTAAATACTTGTAGTATGATAATTGGTATCATGGACTTATTTTTTAAATTCAATAATATTATCTGCACAATATTTGATTTATTTGTTAATACGTCTGGTATTAACTTGAAGCGACAAAAAAAAAAAAAATAAATATACTTATGTCACGTTCATATTATTGTTATTTAAAAGACCCCGAAGAATATGTATGTGTAGAAAAACGTAAAAAACATACCATCCCGTCAGTCATCAATTTTCTCACACTTTGAGAATCACTGATTTAGAGAATGAAGGTAATACTTAAAATACGTCTTATGTATTTGGTTTGTAAAAACAATAGCACTTTGTATTTTATAAATTTTGTTTATTAATTCATTGTAAAATACATGTTTCTGTTTCAAATAAATGATTGGGAAATATATGCTATTCAGAGAGTTATTTAAGTACAAAGCATCTCAAGTTTGAAATTTTAACAAAATATTTAGAAAGATCGTTTAATGTAAAAATTTTTTACAGCTTCTTTAGAAATTATTTGTAGAAGTTAGTATGTACTAATTTGAAAAAATATTCACAAATAGTTCATGTACAGTAAAGTCCATTATTGCGTAATTTTCCTATTTAAATTAACATTAATAATCTTTATGATTTCATTGTGCACGTACGTAAATGTCGTATAAAAATTTGTGAACTTTATTATCTTGACTCATGTCACCAATCACCTACGACATAACATATTATTGTACAAGTTTTAAAACAAATTGGACCATGTACATCTGTCCCGTGCTCGTATTTTGCTATATATTCTAAAATTATGGTTTTGGATAGAAGCCATATGAGAAAATTTTGAAAAATTCTCGGATATCAACAATAAAACTCTTTATAATGAAAAAGATATTTAGTACTTTAAATATACAGAAGTAAAGTGTAGTTGCGATGGTTATTTTTTTATTATTTTGATTATAATTATTTGTGTTGAGATATAATTGTTATAGAAAATATTGTTATTATTATTAGTTTGAATATAAATTAATTATTAATACAAAATCCAATTACAAATTTACTAAGGTTTTTTTTTCAGTTGAAATATTCAGGTGAATCGAACCGTACCTCGCATCAATATATACACACACCTGCTCGAACGTTCTAACAAGCCCGAGGGTGGCATTGAAGCCTTTGACGCAAACTACAATTAGAGCAATCTGCGTTAATTTAATGTAGCAAACATTTATACACCGATGGTGAAATTCAATTAAATTTAATATTGATTGGACGTACGTGGAAACGAGGGTTTTTGTGGCGTTGTAATTAATGGCAACCAACTAATAATATTAGTAAATTTAGTAACGCGGTGAGGTACAGCAACAATCAACTTGAATCCGTGTAAAATTGTTACGCGCTGTTGTTCGTTGCTGAAACTTCGAGTCTACAATTACACGGTAATTAACGTGTGCCGCTAAATGGATTATCGATTTTTTGCATGAATCCCACCGCGAGTGCACTTCCTGTTCTTCGTATAGACCGCGCACTATAAATAAACTAAAAATTTCAATCAATATTTATTTCCAGGTGGTATTCGCAATTACACGTCGTATTCAATATAGTAACAACCGCAGTTATGTAGATTCGTTGCTTCGTCATTTGCCATTGCAATATTTACGGCTTTACAATCGCATTCCCATTTTAATTTATTTATGACTCGTAACAATTACTGTGAAATAATTTATAATGCATATCCCATTAAGTATTTTCGACTGAAATTTACAAACAAAAAATAGGAAACACTATATAAAGTCAGCGCTCAGTTAACACAAATTATCATAAGCATATGATTATTAAATCGGTAAATTCTCATAGAAATGTATGTATTTACGATATTTTGTATCTGCGTACATATTTCAATTTTATTTCAGTCGGACTGTGATGCTATTTTTTTTTCTTAAAATATGTTTTAAGAGAAATATCAGATAACAAACAAAAGTTAAATATACAATATAAATACTGCAACTGTTCCGATTGAAAACATTGTACGTATATACGATATATTTGTACTTTAATTCAGTAGTAAATAATAACGAATGTATATTAAATGGTTAGAAGTACGTTAAGTGAGCACAGACTTTTATTAATAGAAATTTCAGAAATTCATAGTATCTAAAAGATAACTTTATAAGTTGATATGGAGGTTGACGTTAAATATATCATAAAACAATTACACAATGAAGATAGTCGAGAGATTTATTAAAATATACAATGTTTTAAATTGTGCGCTGTTGCAATTCACTAGGGGGGAAACTTTATATAATTATGTTTTAAGTAAAAACTTTATCGTACATTTATTATATTTTACATAATACTTATCTCTGCAGTAAAAATGGTATAATTCACCTATATTGTTACCATAAAGTGGAATTGTTTAAACTTCTATGTTAATTGACATTGTTTTGACATAAGTCAATCGTTATAAAACCATTAACGACGTCATTTTGACAACTTGCTCTAACCAATATAATTAATTCCAGTTTATTAAAATTAATATTAAATATAAACAATAATTTCATTAAGTTTAAAAAATCAGTACAACTTCTATTTAAATACATTTTATTTAATGGTAATGATA